GAATGACAAAATCATGGACTCGTGATCGATGCGTATCTGTCCTTTGGCCCTTGACCGAGCAATTGCCGAGAAACACACGTCGCCGGGCGTATTAAGTGCGAAGAAATTACCTTGAAAATCACATCGGGGCCGGCTCGACTCCGCACTAGCATTATCATTGGGTTTCCGCCGCGACAATCGTATCGATAGACGGTTGCTCGATGCTCGATCCTCGAGCCTCTGAAAGGCGGGTGACTGAGGGTGGTGGAAGGCGAGACAAAGAACGAAAGTGAAACGACGAGAAAGATGCAATCGTAACGAACTACGTATAAAGAAGGCCCGATAGTCAGACATGCGACATTTTTTCATTGTTCACCGACAAACGATCACCGAAACCGGAACAGACCATGGTATCGCGCCACGTTTCCGCCACGTTTCTCGCCTCTCTCGTATTTTTCGCCGCCTTTGTCAATTGTGTCTCCAAGGAATATAATAATTGTGAGTAATTCACGTTTATTGGTCAATGATCAAGAATCTTCTTTTTTCTCTTTTTTTTTTTTTCAGAATCTTTTTCTAGTTCAGGTTTATCGGTATTTATTATTAAATTAATTCGAATAAATGGGAAGGATTGTATCGCGATGGAGAAATGGAAGCAACAATTACGATCATTATATTGGAATTTGTTTTGTCTTTGATAATTCGAATTTCGATGTTGAAAATTGATATTAAATTATTATAATTAATTAAACGTCAAATCAATCCTATACTATTAATTATAGATTGAATATTTTTTGATTTGAAAAATATTATAATAATACATAATACGATGAAAAATATTTAATGGAAAATATAAAAAAATTGTTGACAACTTTTCCGATTGTAGATTTATATAAAAAACGGAAATGAATAGGAAGTAAAGATAAATCGTTAATAATCAGTAAAAAATAGAGAATTAACAATCTACGATATTTGGAAACTATCATTCGAAAATTATTTTCGAAAAAAGAAATAGGGATAGCGATCTATAAAAATAAATTCATTGAAAAAAAAAAATTCAAGCCAGACAAGAAAAAATTCATTTAAATCTATTTATTCGATTTCCGCTGTTAACATTTTTATCAACCATATTTCAAAAGTACCGAGCTCAAAATATTCGAATCAAGTCCTTCGCAAATACGATTGATCTCGACGATCGAGTTTGATACATCAAAAACAACCGCGTTCCGAAAATCCGTATCGATCCTATGATATTTATTAAACGTAACAATTTTACGCGACATTAGCCCCCGTCGATAACCTATGCGTGAACGAAGGGGCAGAACAGCGTAAATTGCAGTTACGCGAAATGACAGGCTTAACATTGGATTTTCAGAGTCATTCATTACCGAATGAATGCAGCGATGCACTTGCGCCATACCAGCCAGTCACGCGCGATTGCTTCTTAAAACGAATTGAATCTAATTTAAATCCATTCACCTTGAAATATTGACGCCACTCTTTAGAAAAAGCGGATTCTCATAATCTCGAGCGTTAATAATCGAGAGATCATATTAACGATTTACAGAAATTATTTACAAAAACTGATCAAACTGATTATTCTTCTGATAATTTCTCCTCCTTGATAAACAATTCTTATTCTTAGAAATCGAACCGGCTTCGATCTAATTCAAAATTGCATAAAATTTTATCTATCATGATTCCAATTCGATGTGATATTATCCATATAATTTCTCGTGTATGAACAGATTTTTTTTTCATGTTACATATCCCAATATATCAGAAAACCCGGCGTTGTACGCAAAAATTTTATTCGCTGATCGCGATTTACGCATGCGGAAGGCTAGAACAGAAAAATGAGCGTATAACCTAGTCGAAGGCCGACGGAATTAGGCAACGTATAGCCTCGACGGGCTCGATGACTCGAAAATTTCGACAGGGCAACGTATCTCTTATACGACCATTCGCATTTGATGAGGTTCTTAACCCGACGAAGGTTACGGCCAAACAACGCCGCTAGAAATTTAATTGTCACGCGGACCCGCAATTTTCAAATTTATCGCAATACTCTCTGTGTCGAGTATTCGATGCATTCGCACCATCGGGGACAAATTAATGGGTCGCACGCAGCAGAAAGGTAATCGCGTTAACGGGGAACACGCGTAATTACCGATAAAATTAGAGAAACGAAAGTTCATTAATTTTTAAACTCGAACGACGGTATAATTGTCGTGAATAATTGTGAATGATGGAAAATCGCGATCCATCATCTTGAGATCTTTCGCCGAAATCAATTTTGAAAGATCGGAGATGGTAATTAGAAGACGCGTATGATTAATGAGTTCCGTGTCGAGCTTCGATCGCGAGATGTCGAGTTGAAAATTGCTCTTTCTAACAACGTTTAATTCTTACCTTATCGATACGAGAGATCAACTTTCATTGATATATAATCGTAAATGGATGAAGCAACGGATGAAAAATTTGAGTACAAGATAATTATCAAGAAATTTTATTTAAAAAAAATGTTTAAAGAATTTTATCTCACGTACAAATAAGCGGAATATCTATACCCTTAAAGCTTAAACCACCTGTTTTAGATACATTTTCGAGGGATAAAACGTGAAATTCGATTTCATACCGAACTGATCCATTATGAAGTACATTCATCGTAACTTTCATGATTTGAAATTCCAGGAATTCTCCTGGTACGCGGATCGGAAATATTATTAACGAAATATTTCCATTGCGATTACGTAAATCATTTTCATAACCGTCGGGTTATAATGTCGACCCGTATCGAGTGGCAAGATAAATTAATTATCAAGATAAATTGCCATCGATCTAGACAACCTCAATTAATCCTTTGCATTCCCATATCTCATGCGACGCGACATTCATGTTTTGTACTACTGAATTTCGCGCTCAACCAAGCAACGCGATCCAGAGATTCCCATGAAAATTACACGAGCCACCAGGATAAAAGTATTCCAAACGATTAAAATATCGGGTGACAGGTTATAATCGATCTTTTAAACGGTCGTTTTTTAATCTTTCTCTTTTTTCCTTTTTCTTTTTTTTCTTCTTTCTATAAAATCCATTTTAATCCATCCGTATTATGATCCATATTATTTTCTTCGTAAATGTATTCTTCCGTACATTCCGATACATTTCGATTCTATATTAATACCTTGTTATGCGATAATATAATGTTCCCCTAGATATGACGCACGATATTCTCTTAATCAACCCTATTCGTCGAATCCATATCGCGCAATTAACAAGAGAATACCTGTCAAACTCATTCAAAACACATCGGCAACAGTTTAAATCAGCATGAAACCACTGAAAAGGGAAACCGAGGGTGGGAGGGGGGAAAAAACGAGGCAAAGCAAACCGAAAAGGGTTCCCTTTCTTCCCACTGTGTCGATTCAGGCTCTTCCAGCCGTTAAAATAACCCCATCCACTGCCACCTGCAGCCGTCAGAATCCGCACAAAAGACTCGAAAAAGAATCTCCAACCTGCCCGTCCCGACGATCGTTGTGTAAGGGGAAAAAAAGGCTTAATCCAAACTGTGAGCGAAATCAACGAGGAGGAGGAGGGAAGGGTGGGTAAACGAGCCAGAGAAGGGAAGTCGCCGATGGCTCGACGAAAGCATCAGCATATTATCATGACCATGTTCGACCTGCTTTTGACATATCTATTACGCGTTTCCGAATAGAGGTGACTTCGAATTCTATGCCTGTTCCGTGCCCATCCTACCCCCCTTCAATGGCCGTATCCCTTCGCTCTCTGTCTTCTTCCCGCGGTTTCGGTGGCCGTGAGAAGAGAAGAGACACCGGAGGACGGAAGTGGAGAAAGGGGTTGGAAACTGGAGGGTCGAAGGGAGGTCCCCGAAACCCCAGAGTGGGTGGAATCAGTGGTGCAGACGTAGAGGTCCAATTAATCAGCCGAGGCGTGAAACGAGAGGGGAAACGTGAAAGGGAGGGAGTGATTCGGTGGAGGGCCAGAGGGATGTCGCAGGGATTGCGGTGACAGATCCGCCGTATCTATCCCTATCTGCTCGGGGCATTAAATTCGCGCGATGCCAGTACCGGTGCCGTCAGCGGCTGCTTCCTCTTGAATCGGTTAACATTCCGTTGTATGCGTTACTTCGGCTTTCAATTAAACGGTTGCACATCATCAGTTGGACGCGTCTCGTCCGCGGTTTTAATTTGAACCCTCCGATCTCGACGAAGAGTTGTCAGGGGATTCAGTCGAGGAAAAGATCGATGGAAATCGATCAATCGAATATATTTATAATTACTGTCATATGCAATTACAAAGAGGTTCAAAAAGGATCTGAATTTCGTTCCATTCCATTTATGAAACTTTGATTACAAAATTTCATTACAAACGATTTCCTGGAATGATTCGTATCTAATCGATTCCTTTTTTCTTTTTTTTTTTTTTTTTGTTCTCTCTGCATACCGTGAACGTGCCATTTCTCGTAGAAGAAATAACTGAAACAGAATTTTGTTCGGTGTTAATGAAATACGGCGGGTGATTATTTTTGATAAAAGTTAAAATGAACTTTGTGTCTGCGCTCGATTAATGAAAAAAACGGAGGGGATGTTCTTCGGTCGCTGCAACTTTTTGAAACCATTTTCCCTTTAATTGTAAATTGTTCTCGTAATTTCACTTAATTGCAACGAAGATGAGGTCTAGACTTTTTAATTCTTTTCTAATTTCGCGAATTATACGCACTCGAATGCAAAATAGAAAGGTGAAACGATTAAAACAATTTCACCGTTAAAAATATAAAAACGTTTTAATTTTCTCAATTTATTTGGCTTTTAAAAAATATTTCAGAATATTTCAAAAAAATGTATATTATCATTCTTAATAATTTATTATTTTCTAGTTTTGAACAAAAATTTAGAAAAACAAGATCTCCGTATTATCATTTTTTATATTACAAAATATTTATCGTTTCTCTTTCTTTTTTTTTTCTTTTTTGCAATCAATTGCAATCGTTTCTTATCGGATGTTAACGAAAAAAATGCAATGCTTGCAATAACAGTTGCTGATGTCCCTTGCGGCCAAGGAAATATTGGCATACGCACGGCGAGACTAGTCGGGGGACAAAACGCGATACCGCACGAGTTTCCTTGGATGGTGAGCATCAGCAGAAAAGGAGGACACTTCTGCGGTGGTACCATACTTAATTCAAAATATGTCCTGACTGCGGCCCATTGCCTATGTTCGTAAGTAAATTTCATGTATATATCAATTTCTCTATATTACACACAATTGCACAATTTTACTAATTAACTAGTATTTTAATAAATATTCCATATATCCTGTTTAATATTTAGATAACAATTAATTATGGAAATTATAGAATAATATACAAGGTATAAACGGTTTTGGAAATCATATCTGTAATTGATTAAAATACACGACTTCGATTTATAGATGGAATAAATACATGATGCATTTGAATATGTTGTTTTATTATGTTGTTACAAATGTTTATTTGTTTTAAAACGATCATTCATTTAGAAATCAAAAAAAATGAAAAAAGATTCGTTGTTGTATCTAAATATCGTACCAAATCTATATTATTGTGTATGCGTAAGCGAACAAATTTTGCAATATGCACAGAGAGATATAGGTACAGCGTTGAAATGAATTTTTATACAACAAAATCTCGATACGAATTGGATAAAAAATTGTTTCAAAATTTTACATAGCAGAACCTTTGAAATTTCCAAACGTAATATTAAAAAATATTTCATAATAAAAAAAAAAATAAAAAAAACGAAATATCATCGATGATTATTCAAATAGAAATTCTATCCTGTTCAAGCATCGAATCTGCTTAAAAGAGTTACTGTTACTGTTCAATATCCGACCAACTACTATCCAATACCTTGAATATTTTTACGATATTATACTTTAATTTTATTTATAAATTCAAAATAAATCGGCTCGATTCGAGAACTTGTTTTGTCGACAGTTCGCGAAAAATATCGAAAAAAGGAGCACCTAAATTTCAAAGCATTACAATATCGATCGAATGGATAGTTTATACCCCCATTCTTTGCAATAATGCTGGTATACGCAGTGTTCGTAATCAATATGCAGGTTGCCATCGAAAATATTCATGGTAGAAAAACGACTGTTTCTTCATGGAAAGCTGCCCATTGTTCCCTGTAATCGAATCTACGAGCGCGACACGAGAGAGAGAGAGAGAGAGAGAGAGAAAGGGAGATCTTATCGCGGATTCACAATAGCCCCCTCTGTGCCAAAATTTTCTACCGTTTTCAGTATCGCTGTTAAAATGTCAGCGAAACGCGAATAACCAATCTTGTCCAACAAACCGTGACTGTAATTATTCTGATCCGATCTCAACGATTCGATGGCCGCATGATTAAATCTCATACACTGAAAACGTATTCATTTTTCAGCAAATATTTCGTTGCAAACTGCATTTCGCGTAAATATTACAAATTTTGTAATACGCAAGTTTAATAGATTCGTAATTCTTTCTCTTTGAATTTTAAGAAATAATCAAAAGTTAAGAACATCGATGAATTGGATCAATAATAATTGAAGCGATTTGAAAATGATTATGAAAATGTTTAAATGATAGCGTTTATATCTTTTGATGAATTTGTAGCGTTTATATCTTTTCGCGTGCAATGTATCGTATAAAGTGACAAATATATTAACATTTTTCCGAGCGCGAAACGAGGGAAATTGGGTGAGGAGCATGGTCGAGAAAATATCACTTTAAAGTTCGACCCGAGTGGTTCAATTTTTTAAGAACGGGGCTGCCTCAAAAAGCTTTGCAAGTGACTGCGTCATAATCCACTTAATCCATCCGTGCAATCTATGCGAATCTGTGTCGGGTTTAAAAACGTAGAAATCCGCGTGTTGCGCGGCACGGCGATTACGGTTCGTAGTTTGCAAAAATCATCACGCTCTGCGAAAGGATAAAAAGTTTAATGCGCGCCTCTGTAGAAATTACGTAACGTGTAAAAAAAAAAAAGAAAGAAAGAAAGAAAGAAAGAAAGAAAGTGGAAAAAGAGAAAAAAAATGGAAAGGGAATACTACGAAATTCCAGCTACACCTATTTTTATCATGTCACTTTCACGTGAAATATTTTCCGTAGAAAATGGAATTACAAACGATAAGAATCAAGTAAATGACGAAAAATAAAATCGGATGAATTATAGATAAAAAGCGAAAGGAATTTTTTATTTGCCGTATAAGTACTATATGTACTTATACGCATAAATAATACGCATATGGCGAAATATTGAACGTTAACAGAACAAAAGCATTTCTCTGACTTGCTGTCTGGCTTTGTGATTATCGAACGACCGGATAAACGGCCAATCACTTCGTTAAAATTATATAAAACGACGAGACCGTGTGCTATTCACGGATATCCTGTCGTTCCCTGCGGTCGTATACATATACACACACGGGACACGATATCGATGTTAATTGGAGCGACGATTACATTTTAAATGAAACCTCGAGCGTATTTTTCCGGCGAATGAGCAAGTCGAATGGAAAGGCAAAGAGCATTGTGTCAAGTTAAAAACTGCTGTGCCGCTATTTGCCCGCGTAAACATTGTCGCCAAATAGAGTCAAGAGGCGGCCTTTTATTAAATGCCAGGTGAAAAAGGTTCTGTCCAACTGAGGGGGGAGTGTGTGTATCTATGCGGATACGCGAATCAATCCAACATCGTATAACGTGGTATTTTTACCATTTATACAAACGATTAATAAGACACGATCAAAATAATAACGTAATAAAAAAGTGTGTCAACGGGTACGATTCTTGTCGAACATTTAACCGATTGATTGGCAAGCGAAATTATTTATACGACCGATCGAATCGTTCGCGTTATTAACAATGACCCTTTGCCATACTCACGGAATTGTCTGCAATTAATTATGCAATAGGTTATCAATGATACGCCGTGTCGGCTCTTCGGCGAATAGAATTTATTTGGCCTATATTTTGCGAATTATCATTCTTGCAGAAAATTTCGCATTTCGATGAGAATTTATTTATAAAATTTGAAATATCTCCGTGAAAAAAATATAAAAATAATGATGCATTGCTTGGAAAATAATCGTATAATATATATTATAAATAAACACCAATTTGAATATAAACACCAATTATAAACACCCATATTAAACGGTATAACAGAATTAATATTAACAACTATGATCACTTATGTTAAAAAATGAAAAAGAGAGAAGAAATGTGTTAGTGATTTCAATTTAAAAGCAATTTCCATGCTTTTCATTTTAAGAGAATTACATTCGAAGCATTGTAATAGGATCCTGGAAACTCTTCCTATCACCAGATAAAATCGAGAAGGGATTTCAAAAATATTCGTAATTTTTTTTCTCACGGATACAACGGAGATTTATGTGGAACAGTGTCCATGCAGGTGTAATTAAACGTCGAGACAGTGGCGTTGCACGATGAAACGTGTAAGCGCTCTCTGTCTTTATCTTTGTTGAGTATGTAACAGAAACAGAGAGATAGATAGAGAGATACAGAAGTGAGAGAGAGGGAGAGAGAGAGGGAGAGAGAGAGGGATGATAGAGGAAAGGGGGTTGAAGCTGGACAGGGTGGCCATAGAGAGAATCCAACGGAGCTTCGGCGTTGTAAACCATGATTGCGTGTAGATTACAGACCACTCGGTAATTGCTAGCAGCCATGCAAAACGCATGACAAAATGTTGCCAGCTAGCGCGAGATCGTGAAAATATATCCAACTCCAACCATTGTCCACATTTTCTTTATCGTTCACGGAAACAGCCGAAATAAATTTCGTTAATGTGGTTCTACGCGCAAAAGAAAATTATTCGTTAAGTTATCACGAAAAAAAAAAATAGAAATAAAAATAAAAGAAAAATGTGAAAGAATTACAGATACACTATGACATAAAAGTATATATGATATAAAATCCATTCATCGTTATTATCGTTTGGAACGTTTGGATGATTAATAAGAATTCGGATAAAATTTTAAAAAATAAGCGACAAGTTTCAGTTATTGACGAAATCGAAATGATTGAAATTAAATTCACCGTAAAACAGATAACAAACCTTGTCATACAAAAAAGTTTATAAGCAAATTAACAGTTCGATTAATGGCCGAATATCCAATTAAAAAGGTCATTCTCTTAATAGTGCGATCCAATATTTAGCCGACGTGTATTTTAAGTAGAAGAGGTGCGATGATAAAGATAGGAAATAACTACGATAATGCATCCATGCTAAATTGTACAATCCACAATGGGACAATAGAACTGCCTCAACGAAGATAGAAAGATCCATTAAGGAGGGGATATCTTTGCAAGAAAAAACGAATTTTGAAACTTGAAAACGACTGGAATATAATTGTACTATCCTCAAATCGAGTGATATCACGAAGAAGAAATTGGGATAGACTTCTTTCCCATCGTTCATAACGGAAGAGAGTGAAATGAAAATTGAAAAAATTTCGTTAATTTGGAAACCATATCGGCTTTTAATTATAAATTAACTAAATATTTCGAGAATAAACATTGAAATATCAATATCGATCGTTATAAAAAAATAAAAAATTTAAATAATTAAATTTTTTAAATAATTATAATATAACATATATAATAAATATTTAAATAATTACAAATAAAAATACAAATTGCATGTTATTTCGTTACTTTAAAAACGAAGGGATAGAAAAAAAAAGGAATAGAAAAAGCATAAATGGAAAAAATGAAATGGAGAATATGTGAACTATATCTATATCTCTTCGTTTTTTCTAAATTTTTTTAATTTTCACGGTGATTATTTGCTGATTTATTGGATCTTGATTCCTAGAAACAACCATAATAACGAGCTATTCGTCCTACTTGGCCTATATGTATCTGTAATGCATATAAAGTGGAAATTACAATTTGTTGTTTTTCAAAGAAAAATTTTCAAAAAAAAATACAAAATATAAGAATATACAAAATGCAAATTTAAGGAAATAACTTTCATTACGTATTTTTTTCATAAAGGAATAGAAACGAAACTGCATCTTAAAAAGCATAAAATATAAAAAATAATACAGTAATTATTAATAATTATTTTGTCTATCTTTGTTAATTATTATTTTTTTGTATCCTAGATTGTAACAAAATCTATCTAATATTTTTTACCAAAAACAATTTCTCTAAACAATTTAATTTAATAAATAAAAAAATTTTTTTTTCTTTGATTCAGAGCCACCTCTGTAATTCCGACCAGTCAATTACGGATCAGCCTTGGTGAATATAATCTAAAAGGACCGGAAGTTCCAGCATCGAAAGAAGAAAGAGTGGTGAACGCTATTCTACATCCTGGTCATAAGTGCGGAAAATACATGGACGATATCGCTCTTCTAGAACTTGCAAGGCCGATCATTTGGTCGGAGAGCGTGAAACCTGCCTGTTTACCTGTGGCCACAGGAAAACCAGGGTATAGTGCTTTCAACGGAGAACTCGCCAAAGCCGCTGGATGGGGATGGTTCGGCGAAGACAGATCCAAATGTAAGTAAATAATTCCATTTCATCCCCCACATCTTTCCTTTTACTTGAGTAGAAGAGTCCAAAAGATCAAAAGTTATTGACATTAATTACTTGATGTTTTATCGAATTAATAGGACGATCGTAACTTGGCTAGAAAATTGCTATTAATTCTACCAGAATATTTTAAAACAAATTTCAAAGCAAATAATTTATTGATGCATTAAATAATAAAAACAAAAAAAAAATTTGTTATCACAATCAATTGACTTGTGATAATGATATTGTAAAGAATATATAAGTTTTTTTTGAAAAATTTTCTACTAGAATTCTATTAAATTCTATTAATTTTTATTATTCTGATAAAAATTCTATTTACTATCCTGAATTAAAGAGATTAATAATAAAATCGGATTAAACTTCGAACAAAAACTATTTATAATGAAATTTTTATTCAATTTGAATGCATTAACAATAATTCATATTTCAAAAAACAAAAAGTTTTTTGAATGAGAAGAATATATCGTCAATGATATTTTCATTGATATTAAATTTTTTGGGATATAGAAAATAGATACATAAATATAATTTATTTCAATTTTTTGTCTTATATTTAACATCACCTATATAATGTAAATTACAACAGATTATCTTTTAATAAAGTTTAATTTTAATAATTTAATTAATTTATTTAATTATTTATTTTATTTAATAATTTAAATTTAATTATTTAAATTTAATTTTTAATTTTTAATTTTAACATAATAAAATTATCAAGAAAATTATTATAATTATTATTAAATTTTATTTCCTTATTATTAAATAGTCTATTGAAATAAGATTTTATTATATATATATA